CGACGTCGCCGTCGCTTTCGTTTCCGATGAGTCAGTTGAAGCATCGCTACAGCCTGTCGGGGTGGCGCCAACGCGTTGGCGGACTTGCTCTGTACGTTTTACGACAGTTTGAAAATACCGACCGGGTGAACCGATAAGATCGGCCTTCCGTGTTCGGAATTCCCGGTGTCTCGTGGCGCCGACCGTCTTTTCTCTCGGACCTCTAGATCCTCTAGCAAAGGACACGCGACACAGCCGCGGCCGAACATAACGCTGGTAACGTTGGCAAGACACCGGCGCAGAGACGAGGGTCACGGTTCACGGCTTTCCTCTTTCTCTTTTCCAAACCACTCCGCCTGGTTTGATCACGCGGCTCCTCCTAGTCCCATCCTTTCTTCCTTCCTCGTCTCCTCCGTCGGCTCATCGTCCTCTAGTGGCACGAAAACACGAACGTCGGACGCACAGCGAATATTAATGCGTGTTTTTGCACGTGTAGACGTTTATTTTTGCTCGTATTTTTAGCAGCTGGTATTTTCGAACGGGACCGCCACTATTTTTGTCCTAGCACGCCATACGGCGTATTACCGTCCAGAGACCACCTACGAAGCGAATTCTCTCTCTCTCTCTCTCTCTCTCTCTTTTTCTCTCTGTTACAATTAGGCGGACGGACGGGTTTCTGTCGCGGACACAAGAACACGCAAGTCCATCTCCTGTCGCTTCGAGAGGTATTCGGTCGTTCCAGTTCAGTTGCAGAGATTCGAGAGGAATCGGGATAATATCGGACCAAGACGTCGCGGCCAGACCACGTACGTTCCGAACGTTCGTATCGATTTAGCTATTTCAAGCGGAAGCTGGTTTACCGTGTAATTGCGACAACACGTAATTAAACCGAGTTACGTGATCCGCTACACGAATAAACGTCTCTCAGGTATCGTCGTGTAATTACGATACGCGGCAATGTCGGTTCGCGCGTACGTCAACCAGACCGTGAACGTTTTCTCGAAACGAATTCCAGCGAAATTTGTTTGCCGCGTCGC